TCCAATATGCGTTTTTGCTGCCTGTTGCAGCGCTTTAGCGCTGCACGGCAAAAACGCATAAAAAGGGGACCAATGACAACATACCAGCAAGTGGTTGCTGTTGATCGCTTTCTACCACTGGGGTTATTTCCGTCTCTTCCCGCCTGTTGTAGAGAGTGAGTATGAAGGGGGATGTGAATTTTTGTTCTGCTTAAAGAGCTAAATTGAAGAAATCTAGGATGGATGTAGCAATGTTCCGAAAAAATGTAAGCTTTCTGGAGAGGAACTTCCGTGTAATCCCCGACCACTGCTTCTAAAAGTGTCGCATGAAAAATTTACAAAATACGACCTAGCCGATTTCCAAAAAATTAATCCAGAAGCGTTGTCTCGCCGAATTTATTTCCATAAATTGATTTTAGATCAGAATACTGGAAGAACTGTGTGTTCCAGGATCATCAGCAGGAAATCGTCGAGAAGTCGGGCTGCTACTGCTTTTCGGAACATATATAATGCTCGATTCTGTTCGTGCCTGCACAATATTTTGGGCAAATTCCGGCTAATATTGCTACTGACTATTAAATTCGATGTTTAAATAGGGGGACTATGGAAGAATCAAATAATAACAAAACACTGATTACCACTTCAGCTGCCTCAATTTCAAACACTTCCGGAATTAGTACTGGTGCTGTGATTGTTATTGTGATTGTCACTCTGGTAAGTTTACTCACTTGTAATGATTAAAACCCAGGCTGGAACATACCAGGCCTGCCGGCGTTTTTGCACTAAACTCGCAGATCGCTAATAGCAAGAAGGCCCCTGCGCTGCAGCCTAACACTTGAGCTCATATTGGCCGCGCTCTGGCCTCTTCTGGCTTGCAGGAGAAAGCGCATCTGTTGGGATGAAAGTGTTACCAAGCCTCATATTTTCTTGTAAGGCGTATGCTTACTTCTCGTTGTTTAATTTTTCTTTCAAAATCTGATCTTCATGAGGCAGAAATCCCACGTCGTGCAAGCTTTTCGCGGCCTTGTTGAGGTGACACTTTGCAAGGTGGCTTGAAAAGATGGTTTTAGCACGCAGCTGAATTACTTATGCTTCACGAATAACACAATTTTCATTGCTAGTGGCACTCACGAGATCAGTGAGATGTTGCAAGAGCTTAACACACGAAATAAAAGAGGGGGCCTGAAAATCAACGCATCGAAACAAAAGCCGGTATACCAGCGACTAAACCGGAGATGATGTTGATTCAGTGCAAGTTGATAGTTACGTCGATCTTGAATAGACTTGGCACTGCTGATAATCCTTTTTCAGCCGTGTCTACAATTTTGAGCACTGAGGTACTAATGAAAAATGACAGAGTATTTGCTAATTTGTTCGTAAACACAAACAACTGTTAGCTGTTTTACTCAGAAAACGTACTTCAGAATCATAGGCTAATGAAGGTCGGTGAGGAAGATGTATTTCAAAATGTATTTCAATGAAGTAACAAAGGCCAGTGGTGAGGGGACTTTTGGTGAGATATGAAAGGAGAGGGGGCTGGAGTGAGAAATGATAATGCAGTAAAATGACGTTTTGAAAAGTTAAAGTGAGTGACAGAAATTTTTTAAAATTTTAGATTAGTTTAAAAACTCGGACTTGTGCACTGTCGCGCTGATTCTGTACGTAAATTATAATCAAATAATAATAATTATTGCGCAAAAACGTCTATTTTTGATAACTTCTTTCCGGAATGGCAGTCATCTAAATGTTGAACTTGTTTAGCTAGTGCTTATTGGACTTGCAGTCGTCGGCTATATTGGTTATCGTAAACTGAAGGAACAGCGCCGCAGTCATGGCGAATATCGACCACAGTTCGAGGAATACCAGCATGCCAAAAATTTACCCTATTTGCAGCCTCCATCTATAGAAGGGTTGATTTAAACTTCTCAAGAAAAATTGTTCTACTTGTACAACAGTGCTTTTTAGTGATAGTTGAAAATAACTGACCTGAATGAAGAATTAAGAACACCGGAAGTTTGTCCAAATTCTGGATTTAAAATCAAAAATTGAACTTATGCAACGAAAAGCAGTGGCAAAAAGAATCCAGATCAGTGTAAAAAAATATCCTTGCGTATTCTAAGATATGGCCGAAGATGGTATTTCGTGAAAAAATCTTTAGTTCCAAGCAAAAAATATGACTCACCGGGGCTTCAAACGACAGTCCAACATTTCTTACGAAATTGTGATTTAGCATTTTGTAGGCCTTACAGTAAAGATGGATTAAAGTAAGTACCAGGCTTTTTGATAAGAATCCAAGTTGAAAAGCGCAAAAAGCTCCATTGCTGGGATCTGATAGGCTCTATGAAATCAAGAATACCCCTGTTCCAAACCTTGAGTTCTCCTAAAATTCATTTTCGCTTTGCCCTTGTGCTATTTCAACATCATGATTCCCGGTTATCATGCACTGGTTATCATTTATCTACAAAATTACCGATAATTCTTACTTAATCATGATTCGCTTATGCAAACAATATTGTAGTGAAAAGCGCATGCAGCAAACTTCGTATTTTACGTGCAAATTTTTCGAAGTATGCGTTCCTCCTCAGAACTGTTCTATTCCATTTTTTATGCGTCTTTGCATAAATGAGTTGTGTTACAAACATTATGGGGCAGTCATTTCTGCGCATGGAATCGAGTCATCTATTATAATCCAAATCCAGAATTGCGTGAATTTGAAAAAAACTTGGGTTAGTTTTCCTCTCACCCTCCTTCGCCCAATTTTTTTCCCTATCTTCCGCTTACCATCGCTCCTGGCTCTATCGTCCGATTTGCATACAAAGCCATATTTTTTGTAATCAGCTAAAACTTGATTCTGACTTGTGATTGAGTCAAAAATTCAGATTGATTTTCCAAGTTGAGAAATAAAAAAGAAACCTGCAAACTGCAAATTCCGAGTGGTTGTTTCTCCAAATGATTTGAGGTAAATAGCACCAGAATTCATGACCCACCCTATCCTGACCTTTGGCCTCATGCCCAGGTGCAGAGTGAAGTCACCACTTTATCGCGGTGCAAGCTAGAATTTTGATTAGCCTCAAGAATGAAATTAATAGGTTTGACATCTAACAAAATTCGATATTTTTGACCGGTGTGAATTTATGTCAGACTAGTATTGAAAAACCGGGGAGAAAGAAGCAAAAAATCTGAAACTTTCACCATTTTCAAGCGACGATTCATCAAAATTTCATCATAGCAGTCTTTTCAGTGTTTGTTTCCCTCAAAATTCCCACCAACAGTTTGATTGCAAAAACGCATAATCATGCTAACCAAATTGCGCATATCAATATCTATTTGTTGCTATTTTTTCTCATAATTTTGTAGAAATTCTTGCCCGGCGGGTCAAACTGACCATCAGCTTACTTCTTAGCAACCTTCGAAAGAGGGACTCCATCGACAGCTTTATCAGCGGGTGGTTGCTGTTGACAGTTGCTACTAAACGGACCACTTCCAAATGCTTTTGCCTTTCTTGAAGAATGAACACAGATGGAAGCTTGATATAAATTCTGAGAGGAATTTGTTTCAGATAGGGAGCCAGAAATTTTGGCTTTCGCATTTTGCATAATTCTAGTGACTTACGATGTTTCCCCTTTTTATCAAAATATCAGCTTTCACAGCTCGTTGCCTACATGGCATCTCTAGCCAAATTGTTCCGAATAGGTACCAAAGTCTACAAAATATCAAGTTCTGTCAGATGAATTATGCATCATTCTCTCATCAGAGAAGTATCACAATTACCAAAAGCATCTACTTATCCGTCCTCGTCAAATTCGCAAAATTTAAGCATCCGCTTTGTAGCAGGCATTAACTTATGTCAGCTTATCCAGGCAGGTACCACATTTTGCGAAACAAACTTCGTTTTCTGTGCGTTGTTTCCACATGTCTGTACCATTTACGCTTGAAAAATTGGCTGTTTTAAAGTTTTTTGAGCTTCCAAAACTTATTTTTTGTATAGCTTCTCTCTCTCTCGGAATCTACTCCTGAAAGTTTTTAATATTTTCTTTGAATTCCGGAAACTAATTTTTAAGGCAATCCGCTTTTGAAAGTCATGTTCCGGAACCTGATTAAGAGCATTTCGGAACTTCATTAGGAAAAATTTTGAATGGGCGAGAAGTGTTTGTTTCGCCAAAAAGGGCAAGATAATCCAACAGTCGATCTTTACACAACTGATTTGAAAAAATTTCTGAAATATTTCATATTTCATTTAATCCAGCTTCTAACGTTAAGTTTTTCTTCTCCAAAGATGTCACTTCTGAGTCTTATGCGTAGTTTTCTGACAGTGAATTCCAGGCTTACTCAAGAATTGTGAGGTTATTCCAAAACAAGTTTGAGCTATCAAAGTAAATTCAAAACCTACTTCTTCGTATCCGTTCTATATCAGAGACGAAAGCATTCAGGAAGTAGTAAGAGCAGTAGGAAGTGCCAAAAACAATCATCTTTCACAACGCCTTCAATGGTTTTCTCTTTTGATGGCTATTTAGAAGCCAGCTGATGGCAAGTTTGACTCCATGTCAGTATATGCCACTACCAATTTACCATCAAAACGAATGAAAACTAATAGTAGAGGGATTGGCGGAGTCCAACCCTTGGCCTGTTTATTGTCTCACTACATGTCGAATTTTTATTTTTACTTTATATTGTGCAGTGCGCCATGTCTAGTAGCGAGCCGATTGTAGGTTTGTAAAATCAGTTTCTACTGCACATTTTCATTCCGTACTTTCAAATTCAGTTAAGCTTTGGTGATTTTTTTTTTCAGAAACCTAGGAACATCTTTTGCTGATTGGACCGTTATACTAGTGTACAAGTAGTTGAAGGCAGATGAAACTAGATAAAAATGGGAAAAAAATTTTTTTCCTGTTAATGTTTGCTTCAGAAGCACGCTGAAGATAATCTGAAATTTTTCACTCTGCAGATTCTGAGTAAAAATTTGCTCCTTGCTCCGTCTGGAAAATAACTTTTATCATTCCTTGCTTATCACTGTTTTCCCTGTTACTGGTATTGTGAATGAACAATTCCATTTTGTTATGAATCCGAATTTTTTATCGTTATCAGCGAACAAAAGTGTTTTGTGCCAAATTTTATGTGTTGTGCAATTTTTCACTTAAATGCTTCTATGTAACACTTCTTCTCAGTGATCGTACGATTCATCTATGTGTGGCTTTATATTTTCACTGTATTCCATGTAATTTTGTATTTATGCAAACAAACTGTTCATTTTATTTATTTGAACGAAGAAATTATCAGTTCCCGTCAAAACACTGTGTTTTTTTCTCGGCGTCATGTGCTGAAAAACAAAGAGATATTATTGATGGGACGAAGGACGGAGAAACAAGGGGAGTGTGTATGGGAAGTGATGCATCCGAAACTGTGGTTGTCGTAATAAATTAAATCAAAATTGTCAAAAAAATTTCGTAATTATAATTAAAAAAATAAAATATCTTAATCATAAAGTATTAATAAAGTACTGTAATTATAAAAATAAAACATACCGAGCTCACAAAATGTATTGTAATTACAAAACGCATTCTCGATTGCCGCATAAATTAAGAAATTTTCAGTTAATTTATGCTTTTGGATCATTAAACTGGTCATTTTAGTGTAAAAATATGTTTTATTTTTTATGTGAAAAGATTCTGCATAAGAATTTATGCAAAGAGATCTTGTATAAAACAGACCTTTATTTGGAAAAATTTTGTATTACTTTTCATGTAAAAATATTTTGTACGTGATTTGTGTAAAAACATTTTGTATTATTTTTTATATGAAAAAATTTTGTATTAGATTTGTGTAAAAAGTTTCCATACGAGAGGTTTTTATGTAAAAAGATCTCATGTAAGACTCGTCCGTTCTTGCCTCCCATGCTCTTTCAAGATGGGCGGAAAAGCACGCTAGACCAAAACAAAACAATTTTGCTGTAGAATGCCTTCGCCGTTTTGAGCACAGTATTGTGCTGGGTTTCTGACTGGCATGGGAGTTCTTTTGACTGGCCCAGTGGTCGGGGGTATCGAATCGGGTCGTCAGCTCCTCGGCGATAACTTGGGGTAGTAGCGGGGTCCTCGTCCTTCGTAAGTTGGCCACCATGCCGCAGCGCTACGATAGTCGACACTCCACTGGATCGACACACTCCTCTGGATCGTCACTCGACTGATACCGCTTTACAATACAGATACGGCGGCCTTATATAGGCCGCTTTCGCGCTAATACACGACCTACCTAAGAGGGAGTCATGATGCAACAATTGTCCAAGAATTCGAAAATATTAGCAAAAACCTTGCAGAAATCATTCATCGCCGATTAGACGGTCCCTTTTGCCGACAGTATTTTCGGCTTTTTACAACAAATCTCCCCGCCCCTCGTCTGGCGGAAAAGATACTTCGTAGCCAGCTGAAAATGTTACAAGACAAGAGGCCGTCAATCAGCCATTTTTTGGATAATCTTTCGTTAGTCTACTGTACTGATTTTAAGTACAGCTGAAACACCGGTACTCATTGGCGGGTCTCGCCCTTCCTCTCCCCCTCCTCCCCCCTTTCCTCCATGGGATCAGGTAGCATTTGTTTTGCTGTAGAAAACTGTGTTTAATACCCTTTGTCGTCCCCACTCCAGGAGCTTTCCCGCCCTAGTAATGGCTGCAGCTTAGGGTCGAGTAACGAGGACGGGGGGGGGGGGGGGGGGGGGGGGGGGGGGGG